AGCGATGTCGCCGTGTCGCCGCGCAGGGCGGTGGCTGCAGGGGCTGGAGCTGGGCTGGCGCTACCACCGGGGCAAGATTTACCTGTTCTCGGTCCAGAGGCAGCCCTGGGCCGCGGCCGAGGCCGCCTGCGCGCTGACACACGCGCACCTGGCCTCTGTCACCAGCGCCGAGGAGCAGGTGAGGCTGGGGACACCGCCAGGGACAGCCACTCCTGTCCTGTCCTGCTCTGTCCCCTCCCACCTGAGCAGCGTCTGCCTGTGCACCTTTATGGGCGTGTCCCCAAATCCCATTCACAGCCCCTGTCCCCAACCCCTGTCCTGTCCCCAAATCCCATTCACAGCCCCTGTCCCTAAATCCTGTCCTATTCCCAAGCCCTGTCCCCAAATCTGCCCACAACCCCGTCCCCAACCCTTGTCCCCCACCCCTCCCCATCCTCCTTCCCCCTCCTTTCCCCTGCCCATGGCCTCCATTCCTGTGTCCCCTCACCTGTCCCCATGTCCCTCATTCCCTACCTGTCCCTGTGTCCCCTTACCTGTCCCCTCTCCCACTCCATCTCCATAACTGTCCCCGTGTCCCCTCACCTGTTCCCATTCCCTTTGTCCCCCATTGTGTCCCCTCACCTGTCCCCATGTCCCCAGGCTTACCTGGCCCGGGAAGCCCGAGGTGGCTCCTATTGGATCGGGCTGGCAGCCACAGGCCCGGGGGGCTCCTGGCGCTGGGCAGACGGGACCCCCTATTCACCTGAGCACAGGTGAGCGGGGTGGGGACACCTGGGGACACTTGGGGACAGCACTGTCCCCTCTCCCTGACCCCTCCTCCCCCGTTTTTTTCCCCGCAGTTTTTGGGCGCCAGGCCAGCCGGACAGCACTGACCACGGCCAGTGGGGGGGGGAGGGCTGTGTCCAGATCCACCCGGTGGGAACGGGGCTCTGGAATGATCACAACTGCAACTTCAGCTTCCCCTGGGTGTGCCAGAGGGACCTCAGTGTCCCCTGAGTGTCCCCTCGGTGTCCCCAAGGAGGGGCAGGGGGGGTTTATGGGGGTCTCGGAAAATAGTGGGGTGATCCCGCTAATCCTGAAGGAGGAATCCTGCAGGGGGCTCAGGTCCCACTAAAATCAGTGGGATGATCCCAATAATCCTGTGGGATGATCCCAATAATCCTGTGGGATGATCCCAATAATCCTGTGGGATGATCGCCCTCTTATCCAGGAGGTTCAATCCCCCAAAAATCAGTGGAGTGATCCCATTAATCCTATGGGATGATCCCAATAATCCTGTGGGATGATCCTCCTCATATCCAGGGGGCTCAGATCCCCAAAAAACAGTGGGATGACCCTAATAATCCAGTGGGATCAGTGGGATCTCTGAATCCAAGGGTTTCACTCGCCCAAATCCAGTGGGATGATCCCAATAATCCTGTGGGAGGATCCCCCAAAAATCAGTGGGATGATCTCTCTTATGCTGTGGGACGATCCCATTCATACCCAGGAGGTTCAATCCCCCCAAAATTTGTGGGATTGCAATAATCCCGTGGGATGATCCCAATAATATCGAGGAAGTTCAATCCCACAAAATCAGTAGGATGATTCCTCCTGTCCTGTGGGATGATCCCAGTAATCCTGTGGGATGATCGCTCTCAAATCCAGGAAATTCAATCCCCCCAAAATTTCTGGGATGGTCCCAATAACCCTGTGGGATGATCCCCCTCATATCCAGGGGGTTCAATCCCCAAAAATTTCTGGGATGATCCCCCTCAACTCCAGGAGATTCAATCCTCCTAATCCAGTGGGATAATCCCAATAATCCCGCGGAATTATGCCCCTATCCAGGGGTTTCAAGCCCCCAAAAAATCAGTGGGATGAGTTCCCTTACCAGGGGATTCAACCCCACATCCATAGGGATCTCACCCCCCCTTATCCAAGAGGATCATCCCCCATAATCCCCCATATCCAGAGGGATCAATCCCCACTATCCAGTGGGATCTCATCCCCCAAAATCAGCGGGATCACTCCCCTTACCCAGGGGTCTCATCCTGCCACATCCAGTGGGATCATCCCCCATATCCACAATCAATCCCCTAAAACCAGAGGGATCAATCCCCCATATCCATCGGGATTTCATCCCCCAAAATCAGTGGGATCACATCTCCCAAAAACCAGTGGGGTCAATCTCCCCTATCCAGTGGGATCATCCCTGCTTTATCCAGGGATCTCATCCCCCAAAAACCAGTGGGATCAATCCCCCCTATTTAGGGAATTTATCCCCCATAACCAGAGGGATCATCCCCAAAATCCAGTGGGGTCACACCCCTTCATCCAGGGATCTCATCCCCAAAATCCTGTGGGATCAATCCCCCCTATTTAGGGAATTCTTCACCCATATCCAGTGGGGTCACTCCCCTTTATCCTGAGATCTCATCCCCAAAAATCAGTGGGGTCACCCCCCTTTATCCAGGGATCTCATCCCCAAAATCCAGTGGGATCAATCTCCCCTATCTAGTGGGATCATCCCCAAAATCCAGTGGGATCACCCCCCTTTACTCAGGGATCTCATCCCCCAAAAATCAGTGGGATCACCCCCCCCATTTATCCAAGGATCCCCAACCCATGCCTGTCCCAAATGTCCCAAATCCCGGTGTCACCCTTCCCCTCTCCCTGACACCCCGTGACAATTTTTGGGGTTCCCAACCCACCTTGGGACATTTTGGGGACGCCGCCCTAAATATAACCCAAATTAATCGCAGCTGAGCAGAGAATAAATTGCTTTAAATAACTCAAAAGGAAAAAAAAAACCCAAAACAAAGAAAAAAAACCCCACCAAATAACCCCCAAAAAAACCTCCCACAAAAAGAATCCCAAAAAAAATCAACCAAACAAAAAATAAACAAAAAAAATCCACACAAAAATCAGCCAACCCCACCAAAACAAACCCAAATAACCCCAAAATAAGCCCCCAATACTCCTTAAAAATACCAGAAAAATTCAAAATACCAAAACAAACTCAAATAACCCCAAAATAGCTAAAGGAAAAAACCCAACTCCCCACAAAAACCCCAAAAGATAAAACAAACCCAAATCACCCCCAAAAAGAGGGAGGGGAAAGGGAATAAAAAGGGAATAAAAAGGGAATAAAAAGGGAATAAAAAGGGAATAAAAAGGGAATAAAAAGGGAATAAAAAGGGAATAAAAAGGGA